ACTGCAGAATTCTACAATCTCTCTCTCTCTCTCTCTCTCTCTCTCTCTCTCTCTCTCTCTCTCTCTCTCTCTCTCTCTCTCTCTCTGTTGTTGTACCCCACCAGGAGACATCACACAAGCGATAGACACCCAGTAAAACAAAGTGCCACCCGTGTAAAGGTCACAGAAACCCCGTTCAGCCATTAAGCCATATTTATGGCCCGGCTATATTCAGGACCACCGGCAAAAGCCAAGGTGGGGCTTCAAATAATGAAAAGTTGCATCCCACATGGGGACATATATAAACAATCTACAATCTGTATCTGCGCAAACATTCAGCACAAAATTGACTAAAAGTAGCACATTTAAGCAAAAGTATTTAAAAAAAAAATTTTGTTTCATTTAGTCGTGCTTCCAGAACTTGAGTTTTGCATGCACATCCATGTTACCGACCAGGCTTATTTGTATGCAGACTGATTGGTTTCCTTACCTCTCAGGCAGAAGGGCTTTAACTTCAAAGGAAACATCGAGGGGGTGGGGGGAGCAATGGGTCTGTTCATTTTCCGGCCAAAATAGGGCCTTAGAATCCACATACGGAAACAGTAGATTATATTCCAGTGTCTGCTGTTAAAGGAGCCACGGTGATGTAGTGGCTAGATAATTGATTCAGCTTCTTTTTTTTCCCTCCAAAACTGACCTTGGTCTTCAGATAGACCTGGTCTAATATGGGTGCCAGTTAATTACATAGGAAGTGGGGAGGGAGGGGAAGGGGGTTGCATGGTCTCAAGGTATGGCATCCGCCTCGAGTGAAGGAGGTCTCAGGTTCAAACCCCAGTAAAAGGGTGGGATTTTTTCACGCGGACTTATAGTAATTTCCCCTAGTCTTTGGGTAGTAAGATTGGATGCCCGTGCGTATTGTTGCGCAAGTAAACAAAATCCCTTAGTAGTTGGAAATCGAAAAGTGTTGCCTAACGGCGCTGCACGGGCTAAATTCAGAGTTAACAAATCAACTCAAAGTATTTTAGGATCCTCACCAGTAGAATGGTTCAATTTTCTGTTGGGCTGATCTGTTGCCTAACAAACTTATTTTGTTTTACAAATGATTTTCTATATAATCTTCATCAGTTGCAACTGTTTTCTTCATAGATCAAAATTGGCAGAGCAGCCCACAGACCCGGTCCAGCCCTGATGACCTGGCACCAATGACTGCTCCTCAAGCAGTAGAGGGTAGTATCACTCCGTTGCTGGAAAGATCAGAATCTATTGTGGAAATCAAGAACTTGCAACTTCAGAAGGCTCAGGTTTGTCTCAGTAGCTCCCCGTGTGGGTCCTGGGGCTCCCATTTTTGGGGGCAGAAAGAATAGACCAACTGCCTGTGTGTCATACAAGACGACTCATTAGGTGTTTCCTTTAAAGTCATAGTATATCTCTCTGCAAGGCAAGGAACTAAAAATCTGCAGAAAAAGAGCCCAGATCTGTGCAGGCAAAACTCAAGTTCTGCAACAGGACCACCAAAGTCCAGAAGTAGACAAACAACCAGAACTTTCCACCGGATTTACAGCCAGTGAGCGCTAAGAAGTCTCAGTAACTTTCTGTGTGTGTTAAATCTTCAAGAAGTGGCATCTTATTTGGTGGCATTGTATGCAGAGCTGGAGTAATGGATCATCATCATCATCAGGTGCCTTGCCGACTGGCATGGGCGATCATGCCTTTCCATAATCTGCGATCTCCTGCAGCATGTATCAGTTCCTGTGCCGACACACCTCCATGCCATGCAACAAGACTGTCAAGCATCTTCTCTCGTTGTCTTCCTTTATTCCTCCTTCCACATATCTTTCCAGTGGTCACAACATGTTCTATTTTCCCTCTTCTCATAACATGGCCGAAAAATGATGACTGTCTGCTTCTGATGTCTGTGATAAGTTGTATCCGGGCTCCCGCCTCTTTCAAAACCTCTTGGTTGCTCTTTTTGGCTGTCCAAGGTATTCTAAGCATTCTTCTGTAAAACCACATCTCTGAGGCCTCTAAAAATTGTTTGGCCTGCCAACTGATTGTCCAAGATTCACAGCCATATGTTAAAACTGGATGTATGTAGCAAGCAAGAATTCTTTTTCTAACTCTCAATGACAAGGATATATTGCACAAGATGTTTTTCATTTTATAAAACGCAGTTTTTGCCTGTCCAATTTTGTTTCTTATTTCAGTTATGCATCTTCCATCTGATGTTACCCATGTGCTCAGATACTTAAATTTCTGTACTTGTCCTAAAATAACACCAGTGATTTTATTACACATTTAGGAATAATTTGTTTCTTTGATACCACCATTACTTCTGTCTTCCCATTATTCAAACTGAGGCCCATTCTTCCACTTTCTAACACCACAATGTCTATAATTTCCTGTAATTCTTTCTGACTTGTTGCTATCAAGACTGTGTCATCAGCATAACGTAAATTGTTTATATTGTGCCCACCAACCACAATTCCGGGCATATCAATTAAAGATCTTATTATATATTCACTGTATATTGAAAACAAATCAGGTGACAGTACAAATCCTTGTCGTACGCCCCTCTTTATGCTTTGAAATGTACCTAAACAGTTGTTAATTCTTATAGCTGCTGTTTGCTGCCAATACATATTCTTTATTATTTGTAGATCTTTCCCATCAATGTTTAATTTTTCTAACAGTTTGATTACTTCTTCATGCTTCACACAGTCAAATGCTTTTGTATAGTCAATGAAGCATAAGTACAAATCAGTCTTTACTTCTATAGCTCTTTCTGACAATGCCCTTATGATGTATATGGCATTGTTTGTACCTTTTCCTTCTACAAATCCACATTGTTCATCGCTGATTTCTTGTTTAATTTTGTTTCTTATTCTTCTCATAATTATTCTCAGTAAAATCTTAGTCATGTGACTCATAAGACTTACTGTGCGATGGTCTTCACATTTTATAGTGCCTGGTTTCTTAGGCAGAGCTATAAATATGGATTTGAAAAGGTCATTTGGAATATACCCACTATTATAAATATCATTTAAAAGTTTAGTTATTATTTCAGTGCTTTTCCTTTCTTCATATGATGTATTGCATCCTCAACTTCTGCAGTCATTATTGGTGGACCATCATTGTTGGTCTGCAGTTCTACGTCTGGTCTATTATCATCATACATTTCCCCTATATACTCTTTCCATCTGTTAATTATATTACTATATCCCATTAATAAGTCACCATCTTTTGATTTCAAACATCCAGTGCTGTTACGTGTCATCTTTCCTGTTAACAGTCTGGGTCATAAAGTGAACCACTGACTGATGCCCTTTTGAAAAAAAAAATTCATTGCTTATGATTTGCTTCCATAATATTATACAAAAAGCTTGAATAACAATTGTTTTCCCACCCCCATGATTTTGCTTAAGAAACTGACACCCAGTGACTCATAAGAGCCATGTTACCTTTTGAAAGTGATTCCAATGGTAGCAAATCTCACACACCCCATTCAACTGTATACAATGGTTTTATTTGAGCACACTAGTAACTAGGTAAACTGCAGCTGCAACTTTCCAACTTCATAGCAAAGGTGTCATCCCATAGATGCTGCATTCCTTTTCCAGTCAAAAAAACCACACAAAATGTCCATCCTTGGCTCTTCTGAAAGAACTGACACAGACGGCAGTCTTAGCAAAGCCAGTAACATATACATGCATTAAATGCACAAAGCAGGCATGAGAAGTGCCAACACAAACAGTCGAGCACTAGAATACAGTTCACTGTCAATGGAAGCAGTAGTTACAATATATCAGTATTTGCACTGGCAATTAATTGCATAAGGCACCATAATTTCTCTCTGGCTACAGACCACTCGCCATTTTATGAATCTGCAGTTCACAGCACAAACCACATTCTGTTGCGGGGAAACACCTGATTGTTATGAAGTAATCAGCTCTCATTTATGGGTGGGTTTTATCAATTATTTTATCGAGTAATGATGACAAGGAGTCGCGGTGGTGTAGTGGCTAAACGCTCGCCTGTGGATCAGAAGGTTCGAGATTTCAAAAAATGACTTTTGGCTGGCCTTCAGTGGATACCAGGTGCAGTCCTGGGAAGTAAAGGCAGCGGGCGTGATGCTGACGTCATCACCCACCTAGTGCTGATTGGCCTAAAAAATCTATCTCTAACTCTATATGCTCAATACACCTGAAGGTGTGGAAAAGGGTCCAATACACCTGAAGATGTGGAAAAGGGTCCAATACACCTGAAGGTGTGGGAAAGGGTCCAATACACCTGAAGGTGTGGAAAAGGGTCCAATACACCTGAAGGTGTGGAAAAGGGTCCAATACACCTGAAGGTGTGGAAAAGGGTCCAATACACCTGAAGGTGTGGAAAAGGGTCCTTAATCTTTAATGATGCCAGGCTGTAAAGACACTGTATTTATCTTTTGAAAATTATGTGCATGTGTCTTTCTATCTTCTTTTTGATCTTCACTCACAACAAACCATAAAAGAAAATTAGTAACCACGGAAATGAGATGTCTGAGAAGGGTTGTAAGAGTGACCATACGAGATAAGATCAGGGATGAGATCATAAGAGAACAAGTAGGCCCAGAACCAATTCTAGATTACATACAAAGACAGCAAGTGAAATGGTTTGCCCACTTAGAGAGAATGCCTTGTGACACCATACCATACAAAGCATACATGGAAAGAGAAGAAGGATGTAGAGCACGGGGTAGACCAAGAACAATATGGAAGGATAACATCAGAGAAACTCTACAACAGCACGATGTGCCTATGGTCGAGGCAGCCAGAAGAGCTAGGAACAGAACCTTATATCTCCCTCGACACCCACAGCGGTAAAAGAGGAAGTGAAGAAGAAGAAGAAGAAGAAGAAGTCTTTCTATCTACCTTCAACTAATGACTGTTGCTGTTGTCTTCAGGTGGAGAAAGCAGCTGCCTTCTTACAGTCAAAGGAAGGAGTTCAAGAGCTGCATGTGGTCAACTGTGACATCGATGCTGAGGATGTGGGAGAAGCTGCTGAAAGGTCTCAAGGAGTCTCCTTCTAGCCCTGTGGTGAGTTTCTTCAGTATTTGGTTGCTTATTTTAAGTTTCTCTATAAAACTTGCTTTATACAAGTTGCTCTATAAAAGTTGCTTTATACAAGTTTCTTTGTAAAAGTTGGTTTATACAGTGTCTTTTTAAAAGTTGCTTTATATAAATTGCTTTGTAAAAGTTGCTTTATACAAGTTGCTTTGTAAAAGTTGCTTTATACAAGTTTCTTTGTAAAAGTTAGTTTATACAAGTGTCTTTTTAAAAGTTGCTTTATTTAAATTGCTTTGTTAAAGTTGCTTTATACAAGTTTCTTTATAATAGTTGCTTTATACAAGTTTCTTTGTAAAAGTTGCTTTCTATAAGTTTATTTGTTAAAGTTGCTTCGTACAAGTTTCTTTATAAAAATTGCTTTATATACGTTTCTTTATAAAAGTTCCTTTTAACAAGTGTCATTAGAAATGATGCTTTATGCAAGTAAATCACCCTGTTCTCACATTTGGCCCATTGGGCGTAAGAAGCTTAACCAGTATTTTTAAAGACCAGATGGCACTGAGTAGGTGATGTGATGAACACCACACAAGCTGACCAAGTCATATTTCTGATACCCATTTTAGGCTAAATTCATTTTTTTAATTTTTTTTTAGATAGATAGATAGATAGATAGATAGATAGATAGATAGATAGATAGATAGATAGATAGATAGATAGATAGATAGATAGATAGATAGATAGATAGATAGATAGATAGATAGATAGATAGATAGATAGATAGATAGATAGATAGATAGATAGATAGATAGACAGATGGATGGATGGATGGATGGATGGATGGATGGATGGATGGATGGATGGATGGATGGATGGATGGATGGATGGATGGATGGATGGATGGATGGATGGATGGATGGATGGATGGATGGATGGATGGATGGATGGATGGATGGATGGATGGATGGATGGATGGATGGATGGATGGATGGATGGATGGATGGATGGATGGATGGATGGATGGATGGATGGATGGATGGATGGATGGATGGATGGATGGATGGATGGATGGATGGATGGATGGATGGATGGATGGATGGATGGATGGATGGATGGATGGATGGATGGATGGATGGATGGATGGATGGATGGATGGATGGATGGATGGATGGATGGATGGATGGATGGATGGATGGATGGATGGATGGATGGATGGATGGATGGATGGATAGACAGGCAGGTAGGCAGACAGACAGACAGACAGACGGTTGGATGGGTGGGTGGATGGATAGCTAGACATTTTCATAATCATTATAAACATATCTGCAGATTGTTAACCTCAGCCACAACCATGTGACATCTTCTGGAGTGAAGAGTATTCTTGCTGTCTTGAAGGAAAAACCGTCTGTGGAGGCCATTATGTAAGTTGAACATCAATGTGGTATCCCTCTGAATGGGATTTTAAGGGCAAGTGTAACATTTGTGGCTTTATAGAAGACTGCTTAGAAGCCCTTGGACACCCAGAAAGAGCAACCCTGATGTTTTGAAAGAGATGATAGCTTGAAGACAACTTAGGTCACACATCTGAAAGAAGCAGATATAAATTATGGTCATATTATGTAAAGAAAGAAACTGGAAAGATCTGTAAGGGAAGAAAAAGAGACAGAGGAGAACAACAGACATGAGATGATTCTTGGCAGCCTTTTGTCGTAGCATAGAGGGAGGGAAGGGTGTCAATACACGAAGTGATACACGCTGCTGGAGATCACAGATTGTGGAGATGCATGATTACTCATGCCAGTTGGTAAGGCACATGATTATGATGATGATAACACTTGGATTGGCTGTCTGCAACAATAGCATTCAGTTAGTGAGGTTTTACGGTCAAGTAGACATGGACAGTAAACTCCTCCCATGTGGGAAAAACAAGAATAGACCCACTGCCTTTCAAACAAGCATGTCTTAAGAGTCAACTAATTGGGGGCTTCCTTCAAAGTCAGAGTGTATTTGCCTGAGAGGCAAGGAACGAACAGTCTGCATACAAACAAACCAGCTCTGTAAAACTAATGTCCACACAACACCCAGGTTCTGGAAAAGGACTTCCACGTGTGAGTTCTGGGGCCCCATTGCGGAAAAACAAGAATAGACCCACTTCTTCTCTTCCACCTTGTACTTAAGCGAAGTGTCGGGAGGGGGGGGGGGGGAGAGATGTAACATGTGTTGATTAGCTCTGTCAAGAGCACTATTAGGACTGATGATCATTTCTGTAAGGCTGTTCTTAATGCCATCACTCCATCTTTTCCGAGGTCTTTATGGGTCTATACCCGTTGTAACGTTTTAGTGTGGCTTGCTGTTGCAGATAGTAGGTGTCCAAACCACTTCATTTGTTGTTCTTTGATGACTTGTAAGACTGGCTTTATTCCTAGCATTCGTCTGATTTCGTGATTTCGTATTCTGTCTTTCCTTGAAACTTCTGCAGCTCTTCTAAGGCATTTCATCTCTGTTGTTACAATTTCACGTTCATTGCAGGATGTAAGTGTCCATGTTTGGCACTGATAGCATAGTGTTAGCAAAAAAATAGTTCTGATAAGATTCACCTTAGTACTGCGGGTTATCTGCTTGTGTGTCAACAGGGGAGATAGTTGCCCCATTAAATTAATAGACCCACTGCCAACCCAAAAGTATGTGTTTCAACTTCCTCTTTTGCCCCATTAAATTAATAGACCCACTGCCAACCCAAAAGTATGTGTGTGTCAACAGGGGAGATAGTTGCCCCATTAAATTAATAGACCCACTGCCAACCCAAAAGTATGTGTTTCAACAGGGGAGATAGTTGCCCCATTACATTAATAGACCCACTGCCAACCCAAAAGTATGTGTGTCAACAGGGGAGATAGTTGCCCCAATACATTAATAGACCCACTGCCAACCCAAAAGTATGTGTGTCAACAGGGGAGATAGTTGCCCCATTACACTAATAGACCCACTGCCAACCCAAAAGTATGTGTGTGTCAACAGGGGAGATAGTTGCCCCATTACATTAATAGACCCACTGAGTGACCAAAAAGTATGTGTGTTTCAACAGGGGAGATAGTTGCCCCATTACATTAATAGACCCACTGCCAACCCAAAAGTATGTGTTTCAACAGGGGAGATAGTTGCCCCATTACATTAATAGACCCACTGCCAACCCATAAGTATGTGTGTCAACAGGGGAGATAGTTGCCCCATTACATTAATAGACCCACCGTCAACCCAAAAGTCTGACTAATAATACGGAGCTTCCTTTGCAGGCAAAGATCATCTATATGAGAGACAAGGAACCAACAGTCTGTGAACAAATAAGTCAGACCTGTAAAACAGATGTACATGCAACCCATCTGTTCTAAAAGGAAAAGATTCCAGAAGTGGACGAACAACCAGAACTTTCCACTGGAGTTTACAACCAGTGAATATTTACTACCATTGAAAACAAAGAAGAAAAAGGTTGAGAACTGACATCAGTGCTCTTGGTACCTTCTCATAAACACTCCGTTTCCATCTTCAGCAGCCAACTCAGTTCTAATTCCAATGGTAAAATTAGTAGTGTGACTGTGTGTCCATCTTGCGTTTTCCCTTCAGTTTAGTTTTTAAAAGAGTGTTCAGAAAGCAGTGGCAAACTACTGAACCCAAAATTACCTAGTGAAATCAGTCTTAAAATAGTAGGGTTGGTTCTGCAGCTTACTGTATAGGACGCACAACTAACAGTTTAATGTTGTTAGTCTTCTAATGTGGCTGAAAATATTGTCGTTTTTTAGGGGGGTCTAAATTTCTTTTAGCAGCTCTCTTTTCATTGCCATTTTCTTTTTAACCTCCCTATTTGATTTTTTTTTTGTCCCAATGAAATAAAACCTATTTTTATCTATTTCTGCATCTACAGGTCCACAGTTTGATTTTTTTATTGCTTGTAATATTTATATTGCTTGCTGACAGACAAGAGTTGATCATGACATTTAATTTGTTTTCATAATACAGACTTCAGGATTCCAGACTTGGCGATGAAGAAATCTCTGAGCTAACAGATGGTATTACCAGGCTGCTTGTTGAAAATGTAAAACTGGACCCCTAACTCTTTTAGTCAGTCAGTTGTTTGATCTTCCTTCCTTCCTTCCTTCCTTCCTTCCTTCCTTCCTTCCTTCCTTCCTCCCTCCATTCCTTCCTTCCTTCCCTCCTTCCTTCCTTCCTTCCTTCCTTCCTTCCTTCCTTCCTTCCTTCCTTCCTTCCTTCCTTCCTTCCTTCCTTCCTTCCTTCCTTCCTTCCTTCCTTCCTTCCTTCCTTCCTTCCTTCCTTCCTTTCCTTCCATTCCTTCCTTCCTTCCTTCCTTCCTTCCTTCCTTCCTTCCTTCCTTCCTTCCTTCCTTCCTTCCTTCTTCCTTCCTTCCTTTCCTTCCTTCCTTCCTTCCTTCCTTCCTTCCTTCCTTCCTTCCTTCCTTTCCTTCCTTCCTTCCTTCCTTCCTTCCTTCCTTTCCTTCCTTCCTTCCTTCCTTCCTTCCTTCCTTCCTTTCTTGCTTCCTTCCTTCATTCATTCCTCCCTCCCTCCCTCCATTCCTTCCTTCCTTCCCTCCTTCCTTCCTTCCTTCCTTCCTTCCTTCCTTCCTTCCTTCCTTCCTTCCTTCCTTCCTTCCTTCCTTCCCTCCTTCCTTCCTTCCTTCCTTCCTTCTTTCCTTCCTTCCTTCCTTCCTTCCTTATCTCCTTCCTTTCTACCTACCTTCCTTCTTTCCTTCCTTCCAGCCTTCCATCCTTCCTTCCTTCCTTCCTTCACATTCACCGGCTGTAAAATCTGGCAGAAAGTTCTGAATGTTTGTCTACTTTTAGACTTTGGCCCTTTTCCAGAATTAAAGTGTTGCATGCACATAGGTTTTACATAGTGACTTATTTGTATACAGACTGTTGGTTTCTTGCCTCAGGTAGATGTATCCTGACCTCAGAGGAAACACCCCTAATTAGTCACCTTTTACAATCTGCTGCTTAAGTTGTAGTGGGTCTGTTCTTTTTTTCCCCCTCCGAAAATGTATTTATTATTATTACTTAAATTCTTTTTGTCCCAAACAGCGCAGTATGTGTAATTTGGGTATTATTCTTATGTTGAAGGTTAAAGTCCAAGAGTATAGACTTCACTGCACTGGTTTTATCCTATTAGGCTCGGTCTCTCTCCACAGAATGGCTAGCAGCCTGCTGAGAGTGTCACATTAGGCATGAACTTCATAGCTCTGGTGACAGCTCCTAGGAATCTTCGTAAAAATTGCACTCATGAACTGAACAGCACAATTTCGAAACAAATCCACGACCTTCAGAGCACAAGGCAAACAGCTCGGCCACAGAGCCCTCCCAAATTTTTTGTGCGTACCAGTCATCATGTTATTTATGCTTTTACATCTTATGTTTAAATAATGTGGACACAAACAATACATTGCACAATTTATTGCCAGACATATTTTGTTGTATCTTGTCAGGTGCGTTACTACAGAGTTATATCAACATAAAATGAAGCACAAAACTGAATAAATTCAACTGAAATGCAAATAGTTTTTTCGGCACATTGTGTGTGTGTGTGTGTGTGTGTGTGTGTGTGTGTGTGTTTTTGGCCGCCGGAAGCTTACCGTAGTCACATAACTTTCCAGGGTAACTTCAAATTTACTGTAAATTCCGTCTGCTTACAAAGGAGGGGGGGGGGTTGTTGATCTTAATTGTTTTAGCTTCGTCATTAGTGAGGGTCTATGGAGAACTTTGAAAACATCTATGTTTACTGCAAGCGTTGTATATTTGGCCCCTCTGGAAGTAGTATACCGATAAATTTAGCGTTGACATTCTTTACTCCCTCGGACATTTACTAGACTTTGTATTCCACCCCTTCATTACCAATCGAATTATGGTCCAAAATAAGAGTTTCAATCGTGTTATTTTTAGCCAGGGATTTCCCTATGGCTACCCAGCCATCTGATGCTACATTCTTATTGGTGGACAAATGGAGGGTATCTATAGTATCATTTGATTCAATCAGCCGTGCCAACGTTTCTGTCTCATAAAGGACTTTTTTTTTTTTTTTTACATGATACTGGGTCAAGAGCTGGAGTATAAGCCCTCTTGAACCTACAATGAGATAAACTGTCAGTGTTAATAAAATATATAAATAATTTAAAATATTGTTAAAAAACAACAAGAAATGACTTCCGTTGTCAAAATAAAGGTGGAGCCATGGAAGAACAGTGGCTAGATGCTCAGCTGCTGGCCAATAGGTCTTAGGTTCAGATCCACAAGAGGTAGCTTTGACAAAAAATAACCTTGACTTCCAGACGGACCAAGTCTAAAATGGGTAGGAGAAAATGACATGGGAAGTAAAGGCGGCCTGCATGATTGATGTTAAACAAAATATGAGCATAGAATGTTTAATGTATCACTGACATGAAAAACATCCTTTATTTCTTTCTTTTCTCTCTCTCTCTCTCTCTCTCTCTCTCTCTCTCTCTCTCTTTTTTTTCTCTCTCTCTCAAATAAATAATGCATATTCTGAGACAAATACTCCACTATTACAGCTTTACTTTCTTTTCTTGTATGTTCAATTTTTAGGTGCAAGATCCAACAGAAAATAAACAGCCATTCAAGCTTCATGAACTTGACCTCAGCAACTGTGATTTCAGCAATTTGGGAGCAGAAACGTTGGCACGGCTGATTGAATCAAATGATACTATAGATACCCTCCATTTGTCCACCAATAAGAATGTAGCATCAGATGGCTGGGTAGCCATAGGGAAATCCCTGGCTAAAAATAACACGATTGAAACTCTTATTTTGGACCATAATTCGATTGGTAATGAAGGGGTGGAATACATTGCGGAAGGCTTGCAGGAAAACTCCTCTGTTACAACTTTAGACTTGAGTTTTGCGGGCATTGGTGAGAGAGGTGGGGAGTCTTTGATGGACATGCTTAAGAAAAATACCAAAATTATTGACATAAACTTGACAGGAAATGAAATGTCTCAACAACTAAAGAATGATATTCAGAAGTATCTGTCCCTAAATAGAGCAATACATTAAACGGTGAATGCTGGATGGGAATGGGTGATATAATAATTATAAAACTAGAATTACTGTCAACTTCAAATTATTCAGTAAACACACTTTTATAAAATATAAATCATATCATATCTATCTTCATTCACAAATAGTTGTTTTTGAACTTCCTCTTTCAATAAAAAGACATTGCTCCTTCAGTCCCAAATAGTTGTTACTTTAGTTCCTTATGAACTAAAATGTTTTTGTTTTACAATAATATTGTTTGTAGCAAAAAGATTTTACTGTTTTTTTAAACAGTTAATTAAAGTGTATTTTCTCTCTTTTTTTTTTAAATCTGTGTCTAATTTTTGTAACGTATGGCCAGGATGTGTGTCAGTACAGAAGTTTGAGACCAAATATTTTAGGCACATTTAAAAAATATTATTTGTGTTTTTCTTTGATGTCACAATTTCTAATATGCTTTTGATTATTATCATCATCTTCTTCTTTTTTGTTCGTTTGAAATAGATTATCTAAATCTGCAATGTTGTCTCTAGCATGAACTTCACTGTCTTTTGTAATTTACTCAGCTACTCGTAAAGTTTTGCTCTCACCAGTGTTCTCTTGGCAAACAAGTTTTGCCTCGATATAGTGTATTTTGGGACAATCTTGAAGGACTTAATCTGTTGTCTGAGGTGCCAATTTACATGCGCACATGGCTGATTTGCCAATTTTAAACTCTGTGTACATGTGGCTGCGAAGTCGATTGTGTCCTGCTCTTAAGGCGTTTAATAATAACTTGATCTGGTCTGTCCATGTTAATTGTCTTGTGTCAGTTTTTATGATTTACTGATTAATTTGATTATTCTCTTCTTCTGTTGATAAGAGACTCGTACGTCAGGTTGTTCTTCAGTTGCATCTTCCTTAGCTAGTTTATCAGCTTTATCTTTCCCGCGAACTCCACAGTTGGATGGTATCAATTGCATAGTTACCTTACACCGGTTGCCTAATTTGGAGAGTAGTCTTCGTATACCAGGTATTTTCCTGACTGGAGTGTCTGAAGTACCGCTCTTGCATCTGTCAGGAATACCACAGGTTGTGAAAAAGAACATATATTTAGACGTTTTTCTGCTGCTATTTCGATGACTCAAACTTCGGCATCATAGTTGTGACAATGCTTTCCTGCAGATATTTTGACTGAATATTAGTATTATTTGAATGCTGAATATACACACCTGCAGCTCCATTTTTGCTTACGTTTTGTGCTGACACATCCGTGTAGACATGAACTCAAAGATCCTGTGGGTTTTCATCATCAAGTAGACAGAGGGTTGTTGTTTTACATTACACACTCTTTTGTTCTTCCTTGTCGATTACCCCTTTAACTTCTGTCTGGATGTGTATTGGCAACTTATAATCCTCTCTTCAAAATGTCTGATCTGAAATAGCACTTGAGGGGCTATCAGTTGCAGACAGATCATTGGTTTGACTGCAGAGTCTTTGGGCCTGGTGGATGAAACTGCTTCTTTTTAGTCGCACCATGGCTAGATTTTGGAATCTTTCTTTCAAAGGGTGTTCAGGCATGTTAAGAAACTTTTCTGCTTGTATTATTATCTTAGTGTCTCTGCCTTCTCTCAGTGTTTGGGTCATCGCCATCTTCTCCATCACAGCTTTATATCATCATCCTTGCTGAAGGACATGGTGATCATGTTTTTCTACATCTTGTGATCTACAGCAGTATGTATGATATTGCGAGTTGATGCCTTTCTTTTCCATGACAAAAGCCTGACAAGAATCTTTTCTCTTTGTCTTCCCCTACCTCTTCTTCAATAAATCTTTCCAGTTGTCACAACATGTTCCTCCAGTTTTTCCTTTCTTATAATGTGCCCCCCCCACCCCACCCCCCACCCCCCCCCCCCCCCAAAACAAAATCGTGGTACTTTAAAAAATAATATATTTGTAATTATTTCTCTTTGTTCTTTAAACATTTTTCAGGGCATTAGATTATTCATTTTTGTTTTCCAATGAATTTTCTGTACCCTTCTGTAAAACCACATCTCTGAGGCCTCAAGGGGTGGTTTCTTGTTAATGAATTGTCCATGATTCACAGCCGTATGTTACAACTAGTGCTAAATAACATGCAAGCATGTTTTTTAAGCTCCAAAGACACAGATTTTTTGCATTAGCTGTTCCCCATTTTATCAAATGCATTTGTTGTTTGTCATAATCTCTTCTTTATCTTTATGAGACTTATTCTGTCTGATGTTATTCATGTGTCTGGATACTTTAACTGCTGTACTCGCCCCAAGTTACTATGATTGACTATAATTACAAATAAAGACAAACTTCGTTTCTGATTATATAACATTTATTTCTAGCATTATTTTCTTCTGTTTGTCTCTCATCTATCAAAACTTTAAAAAAATAAACTAATTTACTTTTAACAAATGTCGGTTCATTTTTTCCTCCACTTTTCTTCATACTTTTCGACTAAATCTGTGGATTAGGAATTGTAAACATGTTTTGAATCCAGCTGTGGGGGATTTGGCAGTAGACCGCTTTACATAGATTTTGACAATGCCATTGAAAGCTGACTATTCAGAAGCAATGGCAAACTACTAAATATAACATTGCCTAGTAAAACCAAACAGCCAACAAAATGCTGGCGCTGGTTCTGAAATATCCAGTAAAGGATCTGCAACTAACTTCATAGTTTTATTTTGGTTGGCTGTCAAATTCATCTACTTCTTTTCTTGTTTTTTTTGACTGGTAGTCAAATATGTCAATCATTTTTAAATTCTATTTCATGAGCTGATAAATATTTTAACATCCCTCAAAATGTGGCTCAAGTGTTTGTGAATGTGTCAGCATTAGTGTATATATATATATTGTTCATCTGTTTGTTAAATTCATCAGTCTTTCTTGGAGTATTGTTTAAATGATTATTAAACATTTATAGACTTTCTTAATGTATTATTCAACTGTTTTTTAAATTTATAAGTATGTTTTCTGCTATAACAGGGTAAAAGAGAATAGATTAACTGCTTCTTATTAAGCCATTAATAAAGGCAGATTATTCAGGATTTGCTTAAACTGGATATGTTGGTCCACAAGGTGCAGGTGAGTTGAGCTGGGCTGAGTTGAGTTGATTCAAAAACCGACATCACAGCACTTGGGGCATTCCCATCTGCACTCCATCCCAATCTTCAGCAGCCAGTGCAGATTTCCAATACCAGTTGTGCCAGCAGCATTCTGATTATACGTCAATCTTCTCTTTTTTCTAAGCATCGAGTATCGGCCAGATCCCCTCGTCACTCCCCACTGCATCAATCTCACCAGACTGTGATGATCTATTTGCTCCTCCAAATTGTACACGCTCTCCCATAAGGCCCTAACTATAAATGTGTTATCATGCATCAATATTCCACCAAATTGTGCAGAGCCAGCCAGGCGCAGATGTAACAGCCAGCCAGAAATCACAATCAAAGTGCCAACCGCCCTTTTGAGGGTGAACACATGGGGAAACAAGAAAGAAGAAGATGCCTAGGTTCAGTCCCAGTAGACCAGAGTTTCTCAAACTTTTCTCGCGGCGGCACCCTTGTCGGGTTAAAAGAACTTTGCGGCACACCTAACCTTAAAGCTGTTTGAATACATAGGAAGAGAAGAAAAAACAGTGCAAATTTAGTGTGCAGTTGTTTTTAATGCGATTAATGAAACTGTTTGGATTAATTTTTCACTATTTCCTTTATGTTTATGGGAAATTTAGTTAACTACTCTTAAATAACTTGAAAGTTGCTCCTGTATCTGGTTTTTATTTTTAATGTGAGCATACGTTAAGAATGCACTGCGGCCTTGCCAATAACGTCTTCTGAATACACTTGCATCCAGTACTCTTCTTGGCTTCCTTCATCATATTTCTGTTTTTAACTGCTGTCTTCATTGATCTCAAGCAGATTTTGAAAAATTCTTCATTATTGGCGCGGCACCTGGTAGAAAACCACTGCACTCCTGTGAAGCATACAGCATATGTAAGATGTGGGTACTTGTCATCTACTATCACCATGAGAATTAACTATGCCTCTTGAGATTCTTACAAAGTGCAGAGTTTGTAGTCCATGCCTTGCTGCAGTACAGCTGAGATCATGATAAGTTCTCCTTTGGTTACTTTGGACCACTTCATTTGTTGTTCCGGTGAAAATGAACGCCAGGCACGGTTACTGTTTCGTATCAAGGCAAATTTTTTGCTTCTGCCGGACGGTGGCCGCTGCATTTTTGATCCATTTGTAGACCGAAAGGATACATTTTCGTCGCGCCAGCTATTGAGTTGAGCGCATAGCGCGACCCTGTGAGCTACGGATTTCATTTGGAATGTTTTTCGACTGTGACCAACGTGGTGTTGAAAACTGTAGATTCAGAAAATGGCGCGTTGGCTGTCGCTGCAATATTGGTGGTGCCCTTATGTGATTAATATTGATCGCGTGAGCAACTGCTGATCTGTTGACGATTTCTGCTACCGTCCATGATGAACTGCATTTCTGACGTCAAACTGTTTGTGTTACCACTTCTGATGGCTACCTGAGCAGTCAGACTTGTGTAGAGTCATAATCACGCTGAGTCGGAAATGCAGAGACTGGCCAGCAGGTGCCACAGAGGTGGAAATTCAGCAATTAATTCAAGATAATGCTCGCTCAGAGAATTTGATCATTTATACAGACGGTGCAGTGTCAAGAGTCAAAAGAAGTGCTTGGGGCTTTTTGGCAAAAGTTAATGGTCGACGTTTGGTGCAGGAGAGCCTAGCATATGATACCACAACATCCAGCTTAAGAATGGAGGTGGAGGCGGTCACTGCAGCTTTCCGCTGGCTAGAGAACACGACACACACACACACATTGTGATTGTAACTGATTCAGAAAGCATGCTGAGGAAGATCAGAACAGGTATGCTTCGTGCAGAGTGGCATGCTTCGCTGCGGAGGACACGAGTGAGGAGTATTGTCTGAATTTTTTCACCGGGTGACGCCGGTGTGTTGGGAAATGAACAGG